CCCAGGCTGGAGTGCAGTGGCACATTCACAGCCACCACAGCCTTGACTTGCTGGGCTCAGGCAGTCCTTCCGCCTGAGCCCACCAGAAGGGATCCTTCCTACCGTACAAGAGTGAGAAAGGAAGACTGATGTCCCATTCACCCCACCTTTCCTTCCTCTCCCCCTGAGCCGTACTGGGGAGATTGTGAACAAGCCTGTAGCCCCACAGGAGATGGCAGGTGGATTGACATGTGAGCAGCTGAAAGGAATAATTACAGAACCTGCCACAAGAGGACAGTTCTATTTAGATTTTAGTTAGGTTCGATTTGCACCCCCCCCCCTTTTTTGTTCTTCTTTTTGTTTTGGTTTAGTGTGTGTGTGAGGGTTTGATTTGCAGCCCCTTTTCTTTCCTCTTTCTCTTTCGTTTTGTGTGTGTGTGTGTGTGTGTGTGTGATTTGCAGCCCCTTTTCTTTCCTCTTTCTCTTTCGTTTTGTGTGTGTGTGTGTGTGTGTGTGTGTGTGTGTGTGTATGTGTGTGTGTGTGTGTGTGTGTGTGTGTGTGTTTGGTTTTCCTGTTTTGTGATTTTTTGTATTTTATTTTTGTTTGCTTTGGTTTTTCTTTATTTTTTGTTTTCTGTTTGTCTTTTTTTGTTTTTTATTCTTGTTTTTGCTTTTGCTTTTCTGTGGTTTCTTTTATTTTTAATTTTTTATTATTTTCATCCACTCTATTTCTGTCTACTTTTCTCTGATCTCCTCACTACTGTTACTTTATCTTGGACTCAGGAGGTATACACATGTACCCATTGCATCATCACATAGAGTGGAGGTGGGGAGTGGGTCTCAGGGAGCCCATACACCAATGAGTGACTATTGGAACTTGCAAATAGTTTCTGAATCCTAGCTCCCCACCTTCCACTTTATTCGACTCAAAACTACAAGAAAGAGCAAAGTTTTCCATCCCCCGCCCTGTTTCAAAACAAGACAAATTCAGAACCTCTTATTAGGGAAGAATAGAGGACTGAGTAAACAACAGAAGTGAAAGTACTCCCCCCCCCCCCCC